AGTGTAAGGGCAGAAACGATCCTCCGGCTAGTTACCGCTGCTAACTCGCTCGTTTGCTGGTGCAGACGACACTTGGGGTGGTTGGACGGAGGTGATAACGGCAGCAACCCTCTCCGCCGCGGGAGATTCAACCCAGCCGCCATACCGTCAGTATCTAGCTACCCTGCTGTCCGTCAAATTCTGGCTGTGATCTCATCATAGGTCCTGGACTCGTGGGCTGTGTTCCCAGACCTTAACCTATCAACTGCCAACTCTCTGGTCATCTACCACTACCGCATACCACGACCATCAGTTCATCACATTCCGTCGGTGCCCCGGTGTTCTCCTGCCTTTTCAAGACGTTGCTGAGTGTGGAGTGAATGGACGCCTCCCTGCCCTGAGTGTGCATCACCGTGTTCCAGAACCTTCCCCCAGGGCCACTACCGTAGGAAATAATTGTTCATTGTTTAATTCCATTAATTGCTGACTCCCCTTTATTGTTCGATTCTATCGATTGTTGATTCCTTTATTTGTTTGCTTCCATTAATTGTTTGACTCCCGTAATTATTTGATGTTTGTTGAGTGGTGTCAGAGTTTTGTGTTATATTTTTATAGTAAAGAGATGCCAATCTCTAACGGTTGTTTATTCCTCGGAAAACCATGGTCCTTGACTTTCCTTTATTAAGATCCTGATTAGCCTGGTAAGGGATTTCTATCCCGAAGTCCTAGGCCTTTACTATATATATATATATATATATATATATATATATATATATATATATATATATATATATATATATATATATATATATATATATATATATATATATATACGTACCCTTTTATGCGGAGAGCGGCTGGCGGTCCTCTCGCGCCATTTTTGGATCCAAACCTCCCGCCATCTCTCCCGTCATGTTGGGTAGGCGGCGCGATAAGGTTGCACAGTGTATGTCTTTGTTGTGTTATCGGTGACGTCATATGACGTATCGGACTGTGATTGGGCCAAGCATCCTTACCTTCCTCCCCGCTAGCTGTGATTGGTTTAATGTACTATGACATGCCCCGCCGCGGGAGTGTTCAAGCCCCTTGACCTACCGCGTCAGTTAGACCCCTCCCGGCTACACCGTGTATATCGGTATCCATTGTTCCATAAGAATGGCTTCCACTGGACCACCACCACCACAAAGAAACCTTGCATTACCTGGACCCAGCCGCCCTAAGCCAAAGAAGATACGGCGTTCCTTAAGCTACGAAATTAAGTACAAGATCATACAAGAGTTGGAGAAAGGAACAAGACAGGTTGATCTCGCGCGCCAGCATGGTGTTAACGAGTCTACGATCAGGACAATTAAGAAGGATGCAGCCAAGATAAAGGAGCACATGAACATCACAAAGTCTACAGGTGCTTCTTTGATCAAGTATTTCCACAACCAGGTGCTTCTCAAGACGGAAAAATTACTTGTGAGCTACTTGGTTCGTCAGGAGCGACGGAACATGGCGGTGGACACGCGCTCAGTTAAGGAGTACGCACGTGAACTGTATGCTGCAGTGTCACGTACGATGGGAATTGCAGAGCCCAAACCCTTTAATGCTTCCTCTGGGTGGTTACAGAGGTTTAAGAAGAGGAACAAGATCACCAATATCAACATTGGTGGTGAAGAAACTAGTGCTGACTGTGTTGCGGCTAGGGAATTTCCTCCGTTTTTACGTGAGATTATGGAGGAAGGACAGTACAGTGACGACCAGGTGTTTAACATGGACGAATCTGGTCTTTTTGGGAAAAAGCTACCTTCCAAGTCCTTCGTTGTAAAGAATGCCAGCAAGATTCGGGGCTGGAAGATGCAGAAGGAACGCATCACCGTCCTGTTTACCACCAATGCCTCCAGTACCTGTAAGCTCAAGTTATTGGTGATCCACACAGCACGCAAGACGCACGCCTACAAGAGCATGGACATGAATTAAGCTAAATGTCCACTGGCTGACCGCATATAAGCATGGATGTTCTCTTTACACCGTCCCTCTCCTGGTTTGATGATCTGTTTCATTCCCATGTGAAGAAGCCCCTAGAGCAACAGAATGCCATATTCAAGATTTGGTTGCTGCTTGACAATCCACCAGGACACTTCACCATTTATAGATCGGCCACCCCAACGTAGTATGGTCTTCCCCTTCCTCCCAACACTACGCTCATAATACAGCCCATGGACCAAGAATTGATCTGTAATGTAAAAGCTGCATTCTCTGCTAAAAAATTCAACCTACTGAACTACTACACCAACACCAAGGAAGAGTTGCGTAACCTGAGTGACACCAACACCGATAACAAGAGCGAAGACAAGGATCAACAGTTGGCAGAGCAAGAAGTACTTTTAAAACAATTCTGGAGAACATTCAACGTCAAGAAAGCTGTGGACTTCTTGGTGGAGGCATGGGATCAGCTGTCTGTAGCAACTGTTCGTCACGCATGGAGACATGTGTTGCAAGGCATTCCGGGTGTTAGGCAGAGTAAATCTGTGACTGGTGAGGTTTAGAATGTTGCAGTAGCAGTGGACCTTGCCAGAGAAGCTGCGCAGAGTGTTACAGCTGCAGGCTTCTCCGAGACCACCAACGACGACATCCTGAAGGTGATAAGGGATCCTGATGTGACTACCGACGAGATGGTAGATGATGATGACGTCAGTGAAGAGGCAGGTGGTGCGTCATCCCAAGAAGAACGCCGCTTATCCCATAGTAATGTTAGGGGTGCAATCGAGTGTATTGAGAAAGTCAAGCTCCTCCTTTCCGACGACCATGACGCAAACAGGTATGAAATCTTCACTACCCAGCTGTTGCAGACTATGGAGCCCTACATCAAGGTTTATCACGACAACATAAACACCAGCCGTCAGCAAAGCATAACAGAGTTCTTCGCCCGCAACCCACCACAGCCAGCCCAAGCCAGTGATAGTGACAGAGGCAGAGACAGTGATGATGACTTTGAGGGATTTGTCAGGGAGGCCCTGACAAGTGTGGATGACAGTGATGGTGACTCACCTGAGGGCCAGTAGCCTGCCCTCTGCCTCGGAACCAGCCTCCATTCCCGTACGCCGACCCATCTCTTCTACTAACGTAAGTGTTAACCCCAACCTTGTTTTTTTCTAACCTAACCTTCAGTTTATTGACTGTTCCTTTCTATATTATGTGTGGGTGAATACCATCATAAAGTTAAGATGTTATTTTTAGTAAAACGTACATATTGTGTCGGGAAAAAGTGGAGTTTGGGGGTCGGCCCGGTCTGTATTTCAATTAATCCCATATGTTATGTTGTTCACTTTACGCATTTCTCACTTTACGCGGGCCGCCGTGGGTTCAATTAACCGTGTAAAGTGAGGGTTCACTATATATATATATATATATATATATATATATATATATATATATATATATATATATACACACATATATATATATATATATATATATATATATATATATATATATATATATATATATATATATATATATATATATATATATGCACAATATTTTATAATCGCAGTCATGTGCTGAATATTCTATGTAAAAAATATAAATTTTAAATGAATTATTTCTAGTGTGGTCGACTTCCTACACAAAGACAGGCTATAAATAGCCGTCTTATCTCCCCTCCCCCTCCATCCCTCTGTTCTCAGAAAGGTCTTGGTAAATAACTTTTGTTTGTTTATTTTCATTGTTTGTCTAATTTGTCATGTTGTATCAAAGTAATATTACTAAAAGTTTTAGGCAGCTACCAAACAGGGAGATTCTACTGCTTGGGAAGATATTGGAAGCACAATGTACAGTATTGTCTAATGGTAGACCCTACTTCCATATGGCATCACAAAAATTGTGACCAAGTCTTAGGTTGCTAATTTATCTTTCTGCCTCATTTACACACAATTGCAGAGTTTCAATTGTTTCTCTTCCTTTGACAACACAACATACATACAATATGATGTTTCTTACCTCTGATCTTTTTTCCATTTATTTATGGTTGGTTATTTAAAATAATGCCAATTCACTTCAAGTATTGGCATCAAATTTTACCGACTGGTGTACACTAGTGACTCACTTAAGCGTCAGTTATTTAACTGGAACTAATGTTGGTGTGAGTAAAATATTTCCATTTACTTGAAATAGATTTGCCAGTTTATTTGTTTATTTACAATATGCTGTAATACATTAAACACACTGCAAGTATTTTCTTTAATTTATATACTTGTTTTGCAAAAAAGGGAGGCGACCATTATACCTGGTAGGTGAAGTTGACCAGAAATTTATGGTGATCATTAAGGACCAAACTCCGAATCCATGATGTGACTTCTGTTCATCATTCTCATCCTAAATTTACCACTGTCGGTAGTTTCAAGAATTATCGCAGTCATTTACTGAATATTCTGTAAAAATATAAAATTTAAATTAATTATTTATAGGAGATAAGTATTATGATCAGTAAATATACAGATATGCATTACTGACCACCTCCGAACACAAGGACGGCTAAAAATAGCCACAGGCGGTCACAGTCAAGGTCACTTTCCCTTTCTTGTCACTGGCAAATGGGGGTGGGGGGGTGGATGATAATAGCAGCTGTGTTTATTACGGTATGTTAGACTGGTTTATAATACATTTTTATTATTTTAATATACCGGTAATCTTCATTTTAATCCAGCTTCCCAAACGTAAGTTTCAGTATAAAATAATTAGTGGTAGGACCTTGTGAGTGGTTTACCATGTTTCCATCACCACTCTTGACACGCTAAACCGCAATATTTAAGAGGTAAGAATTTTATCTCTGGTGCTTAAGACGACCCCCTAACTTTGGGCTGATTTTTTTTTTGTTCAAATTCCGTCTTGTAGGCGTAGATATACGGTAGGCTGATGAGTTGCATTGTTGAAGGAGAGGGGGGCCTTGATAAGTCGGAATTTGGAATAACTCAGCAAGGCCAGAGCCCCATATGTGCCGAGTTATCGAGGGTTTACTGGGGGTGGAAATGACTAACCTGAACATAAGATGCAGGGAAGAAGCCTATCTGGTTGTTAAGTTCACCTTGGTACCAGTTGGAGTCAATCTTCTTACGAAGGATTATCATATCTCCTTTTTTGAAACTAAGGTCTCTGTGGAGAAACAAATGAATATCAACCATCTTATCATATCTACTTCTAGATTTTCTGACTTAAAGGTAGCCCAACAATGTATGTTCATACATGCATATTTTCCTAAGTTTAATATATAACTAATATACAGAATACTGTACTACTATACTGTATATATTACTGTAGTTATATATAATCTCCCCACTAGCCAGAATAATTGGTGCAGACCTCATTCAGGGATGAGATAATTTTGGGTAATTAGAACTCTCTCAAACCCATAAAATATCCCCAATCCCTTCAATTTTTGTGCATACAGTACTGTACACTACAGGAATATCCTACTTATCACAGGGAATGCATTCCTAAAAGTAAATGCAATTAACAAAACTGCGAATATCAGGACAATTTTCCCCATAAGAATTAATGTAAATGGGAAGGGGGTTGCATTCCCAGCTAGCAAATTTCACCATATTTTTTTGATACCATATATAATCCTCATTATCCAAGGATATTAGGGACCAGAATCGCATGTATACTGTAGCACGGGTAAACATTCTGTATATTTACGATGTCCCAATCTACGATAATTCGCATTAACAATGCTGATACATTAAGACCACATTGACGATATTCATTATCCCACCAACTCACCAAGTTGGCATATGGAACGCATCACTCGCTTCATTTGTCTGCTGAGGTGTTATCTACCCAAATACCGCTTCGTGGCCATTTTGTGAACTACAGTCCAGCCATTGTTTCTTCTTGGTTACATGTTTGTAAGAAATGGAGCTAAATTTTTTAGCTCACATTGTACTCTGTTTTAGTGACTATGAAGTTATTTTGCTATGACTGTGAAGTTCTTTTGCACTGACTATAAAGTTATTTTGCTCTGCTGTCTGACTGTGAAGTTCTTTTGCTCTGACTGTGAAGTTCTTTTGCTCTGCCTGTGAAGTACTTTTGCTCTGCTGTCTGACTGTGAAGTTCTTTTGCTCTGACTGTGAAGTTCTTTTGCCCTGACTGTGAAGTTATTTTTCCCTGACTATGAAGTTATTTTGCTATGACTGTGAAGTTCTTTTGCACTGACTGTGAAGAACTTTTGCTCTGCTGTCTGACTGTGAAGTTCTTTTGCTCTGACTATGAAGTTCTTTTGCTCTGACTGTGAAGTTCTTTTGCTCTGACTGTGAAATTCTTTTGCTCTGACTGTGAAGTTCTTTTGCTCTGACTGTGAAGTTCTTTTGCTCTGACTGTGAAGTTCTTTTGCTCTGACTGTGGAAGTTCTTTTTGCTCTGACTGTGAAGTTCTTTTGCTCTGACTGTGAAGTTCTTTTGCTCTGACTGTGAAGTACTTTTGCTCTGCTGTCTGACTGTGAAGTTCTTTTGCTCTGGCCATGAAGTTCTTTTGCTCTGACTGTGAAGTTCTTTTGCTCTGACTGTGAAATTCTTTTGCCCTGACTGTGAAGTTATTTTTCCCTGACTATGAAGTTATTTTGCTATGACTGTGAAGTTCTTTTGCACTGACTGTGAAGAACTTTTGCTCTGCTGTCTGACTGTGAAGTTCTTTTGCCCTGACTGTGAAGTTCTTTCGCTCTGCCTGTGAAGTACTTTTGCTCTGACTGTGAAGTTCTTTTGCTCTGACTGTGAAATTCTTTTGCCCTGACTGTGAAGTTATTTTTCCCTGACTATGAAGTTATTTTGGTATGACTGTGAAGTTCTTTTGCACTGACTGTGAAGAACTTTTGCTCTGCTGTCTGACTGTGAAGTTCTTTTGCTCTGACTGTGAAGTTCTTTTGCTCTGACTGTGAAGTTCTTTTGCTCTGACTGTGAAGTTCTTTTGCTCTGACTGTGAAGTTCTTTTGCTCTGACTGTGAAGTACTTTTGCTCTGCTGTCTGACTGTGAAGTTCTTTTGCTCTGGCCATGAAGTTCTTTTGCTCTGACTGTGAAATTCTTTTGCCCTGACTTTGAAGTTATTTTTCCCTGACTATGAAGTTATTTTGCTATGACTGTGAAGTTCTTTTGCACTGACTGTGAAGAACTTTTGCTCTGCTGTCTGACTGTGAAGTTCTTTTGCTCTGACTGTGAAGTTCTTTTGCTCTGCCCAGAAGTACTTGCTCTCTGCTGTCTGACTGTGGAAGTTCTTTTGCTCTGACTGTGAAGTTCTTGTCTCTGATCAGAAGTGGTTTTCCTGAATATGAAGTTATTTTGCTATGACTGTGAAGTTCTTTTTGTAATTAGACTGTGAAGAACTTTGCTCTGCTGTCTGACTGTGAAAGTTCTCTTTTTGTTTCTGACTATGAAGTTCTTTTGTTTGATCAGAAGTTCTTTTTGTTCTTGACTGTGAAATTCCTTTTGGACCTGACTGTGAAGTTCTTTTTGCTCTTGACTGTGAAGTTCTTTTTTTTGCTCTGACTGTGAAGTTCTTATACCTGACCAGAAGTTCTTTTTGCTCTGACTGTGAAGTTCTTTTGTTCTTGACTGTGAAGTTCTTTTGCTCTGACTGTGAAGCATTTTTGTTCTGGATCAGAAGTACTTTTTGCTCTGACTGGTGAAGTACTTTGCTCTGCTGTCTGACTGTGAAGTTCTTTTTTTTTGCTCTGACTGTGAAGTTCTTTTTGCCTGACTGTGAAGTTCTTATGCTCTGACTGTAGTTCTTTTGCTCTGACTGTGAAGTTCTTTTGCTCTGGCTAGAAGTTCTTTTTGTTTTGACTTGTGAAGTACTTTTTGCTCTGGATCAGAAGTTCTTTTTTTGCTCTGGGCTTATGAAGTTCTTTTGCTCCACTGTGAAGTTCTTTTGCTCTGATCAGAAGTACTTTTTGCTCTGACTATGAAGATATTTTTTGCTCTCACAGTCTGACTGTGAAGTTCTTTTTGTTTGACTGATGTTTTGCATTGACTGTGAAGTTCTTTTTGCTCTGACTGTGAAGTTATTTTTCCCTGACTATGAAGTTATTTTTGCTCTGCTGTCTGACTGTGAAGTTCTTTTGCTCTGCTGTCTGACTGTGAAGTTCTTTTGTTCTGACTGTGAAGTTCTTTTGCTCTGACTGATAAGTTCTTTTGCATTGACTGTGAAGTTCTTTTGCTCTGACTGTGAAGTTATTTTTCCCTGACTATGAAGTTATTTTGCTCTGCTGTCTGACTGTGAAGTTCTTTTGCTCTGCTGTCTGACTGTGAAGTTCTTTTGCTCTGACTGTGAAGTTCTTTTGCTCTGACTGTGAAGTTCTTTTGCTCTGACTGTGAAGTTCTTTTGCTCTGACTGTGAAGAACTTTTGTTCTGCTGTCTGACTGTGAAGTTCTTTTGCTCTGACTATGAAGTTCTTTTGCTCTGACTGTGAAGTACTTTTGCTTTCTGCTGTCTGACTGTGAGTTCTTTTGCTATGACTATCAAGTTATTTTGCTCTGCTGTCTGACTGTGGAAGTTCTTTTTGCTCTGCCTGTGAAGTTCTTTTGTCTCTGACTGTGAAGTTATTTTTCCCCGACCGGTGAAGTTATTTTTGCTCTGCTGTCTGACTGTGAAGTTTTTTTTGCTCTGCTGTCTGACTGCAGTTCTTTTTGCCCTTGCCTGTAGCAAGTTCTTCTTTTTTTTTGCTCTGCTCAGAAGTTCTTTGTTTCTGCTCTGTGAAGTTCTTTTTTTGCTCTGCCTGTGAAGTTTCTTTTGCTCTGACTGTGAAGTTCTTTTGCTCCACCAGAAGTTCTTTTTGCTCTGACTGTGAAGTTTCTTTTTTACCTGCTCAGAAGTTTTTTGTTTCGCCTGGTGAAGTTCCTTTTGCTCTGACAGTGAAGTTCTTTTGCTCTGACTGTGAAGTTCTTTTGCTATGACTATGAAGTTATTTTGCTCTGCTGTCTGACTGTGAAGTTCTTTTGCTCTGACAGTGAAGTTCTTTTGCTCTGACTGTGAAGTTCTTTTGCTATGACTATGAAGTTATTTTGCTCTGCTGTCTGACTGTGAAGTTCTTTTGCTCTGACAGTGAAGTTCTTTTGCTCTGACAGTGAAGTTCTTTTGCTCTGACAGTGAAGTTCTTTTGCTCTGACTGTGAAGTTATTTTTCTCTGACTGGGAAGTTCTTTTGCTCTGCCTGTGAAGTTATTTTGCTCTTCCTGTGAAGTTCCTTTGCTCTGACTGTGAAGTTATTTTTCTCTGAATGGGAAGTTCTTTTGCTCTGACTGTGAAGTTCTTTTGCTCTGACTATGAAGTTCTTTTGCCCTGAGGCATTGTTATTTTTCATCTGTTTGATGGCAGTAGCTACCTCATCCAGGGATGGAGGATAGCTGAGGTGGGTCAGCTCTGGGTGCTAAGGGACCTGCTGGGTGGTCAGGACATCTTTCAGCTGAGCAGTGAAAGGTAGTGCTCTTTCCAGCGCTGAAGGAGGCCTTCATCGTCTTTAATTATGGAGTTACGATTCGATGACCGGTGGTGGGGGGGGCTGTGCCACGAGTGATTAGCCCATAAAATGTTTTAGAGGAATTGAAAAATTGGCGCACCTTGTGCCGATCTGCAAATCTTTGTGTTTCACATGCTTTATTTTTAAACCAGTCATTCTTTACATTGCAATGTTCCCGCTGGGCCGCCACTTTCTTCTTGTGGAAGGTATCATCTTTGGTCCTAGACTGAGGGTTGTTCTGCCAGTCAATAAGCAGCACGTTTATCATCGACGAGTACATTGATTGCCGGGTCATTTTCATCAAACCAGTCTTGGTGTATTCTTTCGATCTGGCAGAAGGTCTCTCTGCAAGTTTTTGTCATGACAGTTGTATGATATATATGGACACAAAGTAGAACCTTCAGCTGTTTATTATTATATTGTTATATTACTCTTATTAATTATGTATAGTAAAGTATTACAGAACATGTATTAATTCTATGTAATATTCTATCTATTGTGCACCATGTTATGTATATAAATTATCACATTTATACTTTATGTATTTAGCTTGTGAATGCTGGCATCTGTACAGGCCAGCGCGTAGTAATACATAGATAGATGTAAAGAGAGAAGACTGAGTCCTTTGTGGCGTGACCACGGGCTTCTGCGTCCTATTGTATATATATCTCCCGTACGAGAATAGAACCTACTTTTAAGACAACAAGTTTTTGTGTATACCCTCAGTAGTATAGAACATTCTTTGGGTATCCCCGGCAATACGCTAGATGGCGCAGTGATTATTTCTCAGTGAGATACAGTGGACCAAGCCTTTCCGCCTGGACTCTGTTAATGGCGTCTCGTCTTCAGTGACTTCAGCTTCAGACAGCAAGACTACTACAAGCCTCTAGACTTACAGTGTTGTGAAGTGCTATGCTGTGTACAGTGCTATGCTGTGAAGTGAAGTGTTTTGTGAAGTGCTGTGCTGTGTATTTTACTCATAATTGTCTGTGCAAGTTGCGGTCAGATGACTAAGGGAGCAGCCCGACAGTACGTGCTCTCCCGTCTCTGGTCTGAGGGTGACTGAGGACCCAGCTGGACGCTGCCCACCCGCTCCTACGTCTGGCAGCGCGCCAAGTCTCTCCCCTCCCGCCAGACACACACACACACACACGCATTCACCTTCTATTTTCTTGCGACTTCAGTCTTCTGTAATTCTGTGCATAGATTACGAGGGGCTGACCCGGTCTTTTGCACAGATAGAGTACAGAAGCAGTCGGCATGTCTCACAGGGATCAAAATGATACCCTGGACGATGGGGTTACGAGTTTTAGTGTGGGAGACCTCTCCCCACCCACGCTTACGCCCCACGCTCCCCACAGTGACAACGCCGAGTCACCCACAGAATCTCCTCGCTCGTCGCGAGCCAGCTCTCCTGCGATACATGCGTCCACAGATCTCCTTCAACTGATAAAGTGGATGGAAACTTCTCGACGCCAGGACGATATTGCAAGGAGAGAAGAGGAAGAACTTAGGTACAAAGAGTATGAAAGACGACGCCACAAAGAGGAACAAACACGTAGAGAACTCGAAGACATACGTAGACGTGAGGATGACCTTAGAAGAAAAGAGGATCAAGCCAGATTTGAAGTCTTGATTTCTCTGTTAGCCTCCCCACAACGATCTACCGTACAAGATTCGTCTGCTACTACTAATGTTGAT